GTATATTCTACAGTACATTTCACAGCTTTTATGATAAGTGATAATATTATTATGAACTGGCTTTTTTTTTAAAAAAGCCAGTTTTTTAAAATTTCAGGATTGTAATTTATGTAATGAAAAGTAAGGGCAGGTAAGTTCCTTTACAACAAAATAAAAGCAAGTCCTAATGGAAAAGGAGTGCAAGGAACAACATAAAATATTAAAATGCACAAAAATGGTGCTGAGTCAGTCAAGTGTCTTCTCAAGTTTAAGAGTGTGTCTCTGCCACTAGCTGCAGGCATGATTATTTTAAATTAGAATTTCTTTAAAAGCCCAGCTGACTTGAAGTGCATTTTTAATAAAACCAGTAGACTTTTCATAAGTATAACTAAAATTTGTCTTTATGTTAAAAGTAGAATCAAAAATATTAGTAAGATTACATGTGTGTGAGCTAAGATAACTTTATTTTTAAACAAAAACCTTCTTTTTTTCAGTAAGGATGGTGATGACAAGAAAAGGCCAGTGATTATTCACAGAGCTATTTTGGGATCTGTGGAGAGAATGATAGCTATTCTAGCAGAAAATTATGGAGGAAAATGGTATGTGGAAATCTAAGACTTTAACAGTTCTAACAAATGGAATGCTAAGAAGACTTTAACAATGTAGAAACTGCATATCCTTCCTATTGTCCCATATATTATAATGCAAAAATAATAACCCTAAAATTTTCTCAAAATTAGTAAGATTACAAGAAAAGTCAGGTTTTCTGGTCTGAGTTGTATGATATCCATACAATTTCATGAGGCTGCAGACAAAAAAATTAAAAAAGCAGAAATAAGAATTGTAATTGAATGTGTAAGTCCTGCATTATTCTTGTTCCTTTTTTCTTCAAAATTGTGCTTGTGTACCAGCAGGATGTCAGATGTATGTAAAGCAATTATTTGTGTATACACAGGCATTAAGTAATTGTAATATGTGAAACATTTTTGTACTTCTAAGATTGATCCTTTTATCTTGGATAAGATCTGGAAGTATTTCTTCATGAGTGTATTTAAAGTACTAAGGAAGAGTTAATTCTTATTTTCAGTCACCTGACTGTCCCTCTTTACTGTAAAGTAATAGATAAAAGTGAAAATTATGCAGAAAAGAATTCTGTTTCAAGTTGTGAAGTCATCTGGGAAGAAACCAGAAGGTCCAACTTCCCAATATGTCATTTTACTGCAATCAATTTGCTATTTTGTGTGAGCTTGAAATGAGGGAGAATACACTCTCCAGCAGCCTTAGCTAACATAAATAATTCTATACAGAAATGATTATTGTGGAGCATGGCTGTGGCTGTGAGTGGAAATGTAAAATGCACCTTTGTTTCCTGTGTCCCGTGCTGGCCAGGCCGTTGTGGCTGTCTCCACGGCAGGTGATGGTTGTGCCTGTGGGCCCCACCTCGGAGCAGTACGCCCAGCAGGTGAGAGCACAGCTTGTCTCCTTGTGCCTGCAGGCACATTGCAGAGATCCTTTGTGCTTGTCCTAGAGCAGGGAATTAATGCACCATAACTCTGGAGACATGGTGGGGGAGAGAGGTCAGTTTTTCGATATAAAAGTTTCTGTCCAAAATTTGTGTATGTCTGAGTAAGGGGTATGCAACTTTGAGTATTTTGGGTTCTTTAATTATGTGCATACTTCTGTAATTATTCAAGGACAAAGCATCCTGGATGACAAACCTTATATAACTAATGCTTCATTACAGCACTCTGAGCTCTAAGTAGGCAGAGCCAGTTTCTTCCATTTCCCACCATGTGTATTATTGATTACATCCCTTTTGAACCATGGTTGGTTTTACACCTGTCCCATGCTCTCCTTTTAATGCAAGAATAAGTGTGTTTGTTCCTACTCCCCTTTGTTCTTTCTCTGAGAACATTTTTTTGACATGCAGTAGCAGAGCAGCACGTGTTTGATATAGATGTTATCTTCTATTGTCTCCCAGCTGGAGTGCTGCTGTGTGTGCAGGTTTATTCAGATAACTTCATCACTGAAATTGTTATAATCATTCACAAGAACAAAATTATGCATATGCATTAATTAATTATTGAAAGAAGTCAATAACTGCAGCGTTTACAAATGTATGTTGTAAACTATATAGTAATACTAAGAGGGTTTTGGTTTCTTTGGATTTTTTTTTTTTTTTAGGTTTGCAACCAGTTTTTTGAAGCAGGATTTATGTCAGATGTGGATCTAGATCAAAGTTGCACGTTAAACAAGAAAATTAGAAATGCACAGCTGGCTCAGTATAACTTCATTTTAGGTAATTACAGCATCTTCCATTTCTGAATATCGTTTAAGTTCTAATGTTGGACAAAGTTTGTTCTAGGCTCATTTTCTAATGTAGATTGTGTAATATTTTGTGCTATGTCTTGCAGTGGTTGGAGAAAAGGAGAAAGCCAATAATGCTGTCAATGTACGAACCAGAGACAACAAAGTTCATGGAGAGATTTCAGTATCTTCTACTATTGAAAAACTCAAGAAATTTAAGACTTCACAAATTGCAAACGCAGAAGAAGAATTCTGATGTTGCTGCTAGGAAAAAAAAATATTAGCTGCCTATGTGAAATGTTTCTTTTTTCCTGCACAGCAGTGATGCTCATCTAAGAGAATTTTCAGTTCATGGATACACAAACTAAGCAAATGGAGCACTGTTGGTGCTCCAGGAAAAGCATGAGAGGACAGATGCACCTGCCAGTTCCTTTAACAATCGCATGGGTTTCCAATCTGCCTGAATTGCAGAATGCTTATTTAGGAGGTCCTACACCTCTGATGTGGTGGGTTTGCTGTGGAAATAAGTCAGGGCTGTACCATGGTGGGGATCAGGAGGCTGGGAAGGACAGGGGAGATGCTGGGGGTGCTGAGCTCCCTCAGTCACAGAGCAGGTACCTGACTGTGACCTGGCATCCTGAGCCTGGCAGTGCACACGTGCCTCAGGAGCAGTTTGCATTAGGTTTTCTTCTAGCTTCAGATGGTAACAAAAATTTGGGGGGAGATTGAATAGCTTGATTGTTTCAGAATGAGTGTTCAGAGACTGTGAATGCACTGGAGTCTTTGTTGGAATTCTCAGTGTAAAAGGCACTCGTGGAGCTGGTGTGATGACTGGTTGCTGTGATGGTGGTTGCCAAGAGTGCAGTTCAATTACTATAACTTTGTGTGAAGTGTTTTATTTTTTTTCCCTCTGTTTGCTGCTGTTTTGGCTTTTTACTAAAACAAAAAAGTAAACTTTGAAAAACCTTTCTGTGTGTAGTTTATTATTTTATTTGCTACAAGTAGTTAGGATGCTGAAAAGAAGCAGAGGAAAATTTTAATTTTATAACAGTAAGCTGGACTTGAAGCTGGCCATATTTCTGTTTTGTTTATGCTTAGAAATTATTTTTAGAGCTGCTGTTGCAGGCAATTGAGCTGGATTTTTTTAGAGATTGATTTTGACCATTTTTTTCACTTTAATATGCTGTTATTTAGTTAACAGACTTAAATAGTGTTAAGTGTATTGCTCAGTTACCTAGAGCTGTATAGCTTAATTGTGATTTAAATATCACAGCCGTGAAGCAGAAACTACAATTTAGTGTGTAAATATTAACACAAATACAAAGCTTATGTTTTGCTTTTGCCTCACACTCGTGCAGATCTGTGTTTAATAGGTCTGTGTTTGGTTTTGTATTTGTGGATCTGTTTTTATCTCCTGCTTGTAAAAGAAAAGGGGGAAAAGCAAACATTGAAGGAGCAATGGGAAAGCTTTCTGTTCCGCTTGACAGAATTAACGCGGGGAGTGGCGGGAGATTTTTATTTCTGTGTTTTATACATACCTACATTTTTATGGACGATGTACTGAGCCTGCAGCATTGAGGTTCTGAGGGTGTTCAGGATGTTTCAGAGCGAATTTCGTGTTTTGCCGTGTCCGCTCCCGTGAGGGG